ATGTTATTGGCCAAATCAATATCACTCACATCGAGGCACGCATCTCCTCGCCTGGGCTCTCATGACTGTGGGGATTCTGCAATGGTCGTAAGTGTGAAAAATGGTCATAAGTCACTTTTTCAGTGCCATTGTAACTTTGAATGGTCACTCCACACAAGCAAAGTACCAGCAAAGGAAGGGGGGGAAATTCCAGAGACATTCCAGAGACAGGAAGTCTAGTCCTGCCAAGAATGTAATAAGGGTTAACAGAGAGGCAGTTTTTGTAAGCAGCACCAGAATGTTTCCTTCCTGCCTTCCTTACAGGATTAGGCCAGTAATTTCTTCTAACAACCGGTTCTCAGAACTGCTTAGAATGTTAACAACCAGTTCCAGCGAATAGGTGTGAACTGGTAGAATCCCACCCCTGGCTAGACTGATGCGGGATTCTTTATCCTCTAATCCTACAGATAGTCGGCAACTTACAATAGTTTGTTTAGTGATCATTCAAAGTTACAATGGCATTGGAAAAAGTGACTTATGACTCTTTTTCATACTTACAACTATTGCAATATCCTCATGGTTGCGTGATCAAAATTCAGATGCTTGGGAACTGAGTCATATTTATGATGGTTTCAGTATCCCAATCACTTTTTGCCAAGCAAAGTCAATAGAAAGCCACATTCACCTAACAACCATGTTACTAATTACTACTAACTATAGTAATTCACTTAACAACTTAGCAAGAAGGGTCGCGAGATGGGACAAAACTCACCTAACCACTGTCTCACTTAGCAACAGAAATTTTGGGCTCAATTGTGGCCAAAGGTCCAGGACCACTTGTATATAACTGTAGAATTCTACATCTTTCTGATTAGAATTATTTTAATTGTATATAATTCTAATTGTTCTGATTTTTGGCCATCACAGAGTGACCTAGCTCTTTTCCTACGATGGTTTTGAGAGGTTGAGTCTATCTCATTTTGTCAAGGAGCAGAATATTTTCTTGAAGGACACTGGAAAAAACCTCAGCTGGATAAGTCTGAAGGTCTTCAATCTAACAGCAGAAGGAGAGAGAGTTAAAAGTGTGGGCCTTCCCACTAATCATATAATAAATTCATTAGATTTGGCAGAAAAAGTCTGGCAGCCTCTCTTTTAACAGGTTTACTAAACGGTTTAAATTGTTGATGTTATTAAAAGGACTTTTTTCAGGATGGGAAATTCAAAACAGATTAATGTATAATGTTAACTCCTGTAGGAAGTTAGCACCCACCCTTCTCCTAGAAAAATGAAATATCCCAGGAAATATTAAAAAGGTAGAATATTTCCCCTAAAAAGAGTAGAAACTCAGAAGCAGAAACTCACCTTAGAAGCTGAAGCTCACCCCCCACTTTGCTAATGGACCATTATTCTGGCCTAGGCCAGTCTATTTTACATAACAAAGATCTCCAGGTAGAGCTGTAATAGAAATTGCCCAAAGCCTTTTCATTACATCAACACCCAGCAAGGCTCAACCAAGCCTGGGACTAAGGACAGCCTACAGAGTTGCCCCTGTATAGCCCCATGGGAGTCTAACAACCAATTAGAATACAAGCTCAAATTCAAATCCCAACAGAGGGCATAAAACCCAGGGACTTTCAGCATCTCTTTCCTTTTCCTTCTTTCTTTACCCAAGGCATGTGATCCTGTCCACCATTAAACTATCTTTCCAAGCAGTCATCACGTATCTAGTGTCTTTCTTCCCCACTTGGAACTGAACACAGAAGGATATTTCTTCCACCACTCCAGTAGCTGGGTTGATCTGGATGATATCATAAATATAAAAGTGTATTAGGAAAATAGTTTTCTAGATCAATTTCAACATTTATAAAATCAAATCTTTTGACTTCCTCAAACTGGTGTATTTTGAAGACTGAAAAAAGGCAGCCAAGTCAGTTATGCTGTTACTGTAGTCTATTACTTAATTTCAATGGTTTTAATATTCCTTTGGTACCATATTTTCTCTACTTTTTGAACGCCATAGAGGAAACATAGGTAGTTTTCAACTTACAAACATTTCTTTAGTGGCCATTCAAAGTTATGACAGCACTGAAAAAAGTGACTTTTCATGCTTACAATTGTTGCAGCATCTCCCATGGTCACATGGTGAAAATCTGGGCGCTTGCCAACTGGCATGTAGTTATGACAATTGCATGTCCCAGGGTCATGCGATCACTATTTGTAATCTTTCTAGCCAATGTCTGAGAGGCAAAGTCAATGGGAGAAGCCAATTCACTGAAAAACAGCTGTGATTCACTTAACAACTGTGGCAAAAGGTCATAAAATGGGGCAAACCTCACTTAACAATTGCCTCATTTAGTAATAAAAATTTTGGGCTCAGTTGAGGTCGTAAGTTGAGGACCATCTGTATACTGCAAGGCAGATAAGTTTGAACATTTTTAAATGACAACTGTTTTGGATTATAATTCGCAACATATCAGCAAAGTCTTTCCATCTGGGTGGGAATTCTGGGAGTTTTTCAGATGCTACTGGCTTCTCAGGTTGGGAAAATAGCAATAGCACTTAGACTTATATATCTCTTCATAGTGCTTTACAGCCCACTCTAAGCAGTTTACAAAGTCCGCTTATTGCTCCCAACAACCTGTGTCCTGATTTTACCAACCCTGGAAAGATGGAAAATTGAGTCAATCTTGAGATGGTCAGAATCAAACTCCTGGCAGTGGGCAAAATCAACCTGCAGTACTGCACTTTAACCAGTATGCCACCACAGCTCTATGATTATATGCAACATAATGCAATATATGACATCCCTACTGCCTTCCCAAGTTAATAGAAAGGCATATTAATCTGTTGCAGCAAACTCAAGGTCTCGTGTGGCAATTTAATAACAGGCTTAATAGATCCCCTAAAATGATTCCCACAAAAGCATGCTAATTTTTAAAGTACCAAGAAAGGAGACTCTTTGCAGCTCAGGGTTGAAATCAGTGCACTGCTGATGTTACCTAGTTTGGATAATGAAATGTCTGGAAAAAAACGAGGCTCAAAGAGCCCCAAGAGCCCCATTGTTTTTAAAGTATTATACCAATTTTGTGATGTGTCTTGCCTTGTACAGTGATCATAGTCAAGGGAACTCAGCTGGGCCCAAATATTATCCTTTCTACAGCTAATTTCACTGGAAGAAATCAGATGGAATCCAGTCATACATTTGCACCCAGTCCAGAATGTCTACTGTCCATTGCTTTGTACAATGATACAAAAAAAGTACCAGAACCTTTGAAATCAATAAAATGTAGGCTATAGAAATGTTATAATTGACTTAGCTGCCCTTTTTTCAGGCTTTAGCATGCACCAAAGGATTTGATTTTATAATTAAACTAGGCTAGAAAACTATTTTCTTAATATGAATTTAATAGGGATTTTCTGGATCACAGTTGATCCCCATCCAGGAAGCCAGGCGTGTGATTAGGATCCCTAAATTCTCACCAGGGTAACGGCTTCTCTCCTTCCCAGGCTCACTCTATCTTTCCAAACCATTAGCCCCAACTTCCACCCAGATTCCCTGACTGTCTGGATGCCCTTCCAACCCCCAGGCTCCCCCGGGGAGACCTGCGGTGCAAGATCCGAGCGAAGAGGCAGCCAGGCGGAATCCTTGCGACACTGCCTGCGGGTTCAACGAGGGGTCGTTGAGGACAAGATGAACCCCCACGAGAACCTTTTCGATGCGGGTGGAGCTGGCGAAGACATTCGGTAAAAAGACGCCGTGGGACCCTCAAGTCCCTTGCTGAATGCTTGGCAGGGCGGAAAGCTGCGATCTTTCCCGCGAATTAAAAGGGCCGCTCCAGCCTGGGAAAGAAGCGGCTAGGAACCCTAAGGACTGAAGTGCAAGAATACTCGAGAAGGACTAGCGGCTTGCAAAGTCCTCTAAGGAAACGGAATCGAGAGGAACAGTGGAAACCTCTAAATTGCTCGGCTAGCTATAATTTGAAACCTCCTTGGGATTTTTGGGGAGCGGGTAGGACGACGGTGGGTATGTGCGTGAGTTTGCAATGCCAGGATCGGGCTGGCTTTTCGCTCCGATTCCTGAGCCCACGAGCTGTTGGTGGCGGCGGAGGAGGAGGAGGAGAAAAGAAGGAGGAGGAGGAAGGGTTTGCTCTTTGGGAGACTGATAGCTGATCCCTGGATCAGGTTCCCCATCTCCCCCCCACCCCCACCCCTTCTGCGCAAGATATCAGCAGCCCCCGGGCAGCCGGACTCCTCCCACTACGAATAACTTTCGCTTTCACTCGCAATTGCAAGGGAACTCCTGGGCCTTTTTATTGTATTGTATTCCCTTTTCGCCGGATATAACGCACGTGCCAGGACAGCTGGCAACTCTCCTGCAGCACCTCCGCGATTGTGGAAGAAGAGTGCGTGCACCGAACGACCCCAGAACAACTACTGACCTCCCGGGACGTGGCGCGCTTCCTCTACATGCCCGCGTCGCATCTTTGCAGGTAAGCTAGAGGATTGTTTCTTGCTAGCCAGAAGGGCTAATCCTCCCCCACGCGCCCCATTCCTTCAAGCGGAGAGTGTCGAGGAGGGGAAAGCAGGGGCTGCCGCCACTTCGTTTTGGGGGGAGTTGGAGCGGGGAGCCTTCCGGGGAATGTCAAGGACTGGGTCCTCACTTGGATAGCGGGCAAGGGGCTTCGGGGACTCTTTTCCCATAAGCTCGGTGAGTTGGAGTTGGAGGCTTGGGCGCGCGGGATACCGCCTCTGCGGCTTGGTTTAGTCTTCTCCCAACCCCATCTCAGGAATTTCGGGTTTTCTTCAGGTGAACCACCTGCTGGATATTTTTGTTTTGGCTGCAGGAGCAAGCACCTGATCGTAGGAACGAGGGGCTCATGGTCTGGGGCTGATAATCATAATTTCTGAGAATTCATCATCCTCTGGTGAACTTCCTGGGCTCCTGTGGTACTTGGGCTGGTATCCGTGATGGAGCTGAGCCCTCATTTTTAAGGGGTTCTGGACAGAACATCCTCACGTGGCCTCGGATATTCCAATGGACAGCTTAGTTTTCCAATCAAGTGGAATTCTGCAGCAGTCATATTTTTTCCCCTTTCAGGTGCTTTGTGTGGTTTTTAAAAAAAAATTGCATAATGAAACAGAACTTTTCCCAGTACAGGTAGTCCTTAACTTACAACAACTCATTTAGTGACTGTTCGAAGGTACAATGTACTGAAAATGACTTATGACCATTTTTCACACAACCATTGCAGCATCCCCCGTGGTCACGAGATCAATATTTGGATGCTTGGCAACTGCCTCATATTCCTGGGTTCATGGGATCCCCCTTTGGAACCCATCTGACAAGCAGAATCAATGGGGAAGCCAGATTCACTTAACATCCGTGTTACTAACTTAACGACTGCAGTGATTCATTTAACACTGTGGCAAAGAAAGTCACATTGGGGCAAAACACACTTAGCAACTGTCCGCTTAGCAACATAAATTTTGGGCTCGACTCTGGTCACAAGTTGGGGACTACCTGTACTTAAGCTGTAGTAATGATGCTCTACTACCTACAAAGGAGAAAAATTTGGGGTGTTTATGGGTATCACAGCATGCCATCTAAAGGATGAGGGAAGATGATTAGAAAGGTAACAGTGTCTGTTTCTCTCCCACATCCTTTTGTGTTAAATCTTTGCAAGGCAAGAAGAACAAAGTTTTGCAAAGCTCCCCAAGGCCAGTGCAAGTGAAAGGGGTAGGGGAGAATGTCCCTTCTCCCTCCCCCCCCCATATTTATATGAAGGTTTCAAAAACAAACATCAAAAACTATTCTGCTGTCTCAGCTGACCCATAAGGAACAGCAAAGAAAAGTTTCCCCTCTCTGCTAGCGAAAGTGCGATTGAAATAACTGAAATGACTACTGCATATACATTGCAGTAGTATTTGATTAATGCGGTTGATATCATGAATGATAACTGTGTGAACGGAAGTACTGGGACTGCATATCATGTAAACAATATAATCTGCCAGTGTATAAACAGAAAAGTTCTTTGTAATTGACATTAAATTGACATGGAAACTGCTTTGGTGGTTTGTGTGGGATCAAAGCCAACTTAGTAAGGGCTTCAGAGGGGATTTTAGAGTTTTTTTCTTCACTATTTAAAAAGCAATCATTTTTTATGTTTTGACTTGGGGATATAATCCTCCATTTACTGGTGCTAAGTCAATGAAGCTTTGTTGGTCTTGAAAAATGATCAGAACCACACCTGGAAAAGACAAGGAGGAAAATTCCAGGATTACAGGGTAGAGTGGAAACTAGGACAATGATGAGGTGGAAGATGGTGGCAAGAAGAAGACAACTGGCAAGTTACTTTTAGAAGTCATTATTTCTGCTTAGAAAACTGGTGAACATGTCTATAATGTTATCAGGAGACAATTTGAAGGATAGGATTTTTTTAAAATACAATTTTCAGAATCTTCCAGCTCAGTAGAATGCTCCATATACCTGGAACCCAAGGAAGTAAAGAAAATAAAAACCATTAGGTAATGATATGATTCAGTGTGGGAAATTCTTGAAGTTGGGAGTTGAGAAACACTGCCCTGTTCTTTTTGTAGTCTTCTAAAAATGAAATAGTTCCAGTTCACCTTTTATTCACTTAGAAAATATATACCAAAATATATACCTTGTTGTTAATAATCTATTACATTCACACATTTTACGATGATGTCATATCCTAGCTGTTGTGAATCATCAATTTTTTTTTTGATGGTACACACTATTCTTTATTTTTTTTGCTTTTTCCAATGTCCCTGCAGAGTTTCTCTTGGCACCATCTGAGTTGCCTGCTGGACTTATTTACTCCCCCCCCCACCCCCCCCGTTTAAAAAAGTGTTCAGTAAAAATAGAAAAGATAGCTTACTTCAAAATAAAATACCAGCCTAACATTATATTTTTTTTAGAAAATAAAAATGATGGTTGGATGCAGCCCAATATAAATGTGCCCAATACTCCCCTGGGGAAAAAAATAAAGTTGAAGAGGGCTCCTGGATTTGGTAGATTTTGGTAAATTCGAAAATTCTCATGCTATTTAATGAGGGGATTAGTTTTTTCAAGAGTTCTTATAATTTGCTCTTATAATTTAAATTGGTTCCCAAGCCTCTTGGCTTTCTTGGCAGGTTTTGTGGACAGAAAATTCCATGTTGAATCTCTAGTAAAAGGAGATGCTGGTAAATATCCTGTCCAGACATTTGCTGAACAATTTGGAGAAGTTCGTGCAATAGATAATGGGTTAGATCACTGTTTCTCAACCTTGATAACTTCACTACAACTCCCACAATTCCCCAGCTGGGAATTTCACACATATCAAAGCTGCCAAGATTGAGGAACACTGGGCTAGGTAAGTAAAGGAACTTATCCAGTTCAACAGGTTGATGTATTCAGCGGCTCTGTTACCTTTCCGTATCTAACTAAGCACCATATACTCTTTCCATCCAGAGTCCTCTGCTCAATGGATCATCTTAGCCTCTGAAATTGGGCAGTCCACAGACCCTTTTAACTTTTTGTAGATCCTTAAAAACCTGATTCCCCACTTCCCCAAAATATTGGGAGACTAAAAGTGATACATTTGTACAGATTGACACTGGATTTTTGTTTTTATTTTCTTTTTAATGTTTTATGTTTTAACTGAGTGTCTTTTGCAGTTTGTAAAATGATGCTATTGGGAGATACCCAGACATGTCTGAAAGATGGGCAGCTACATGAACGTTTTAAATAAATATATTTCAACTATTAAACCCGCTTTGATACTTTATGCATTTATTAAAAAACAGCCATTCATCAGTTGGGTCGTGATGACTAAAAAAGTCATTGTCTAAAGGAAGAAGAAAGAAGGAATGGTGTAGAAGAAGGAAATATTAAATGCTTTAAAATGCTTACTTATAACTTGTATGAAAAAACTCTAGAAAAGCCTACCTTCAGAAGAGTGGGGAATTACCTCCTTAATCCTCAATTTATGACCACAATTGAGCCCAGAATTCCCATTGCTAAGTGAGGCATCTCATTTTTATGACTTTTTTTTGCCATAGTTACTAAGCGTATCACACAGTTATATGAATTATGGGGTCATTAAACAAATCTGGCTTCCCCATTGACTTTGCTTGTCAGAAACTTGCAAAACATGACCTGGGACACAGCAACCATCATAAATATGAATCCGTTGCCAAGAATCTGAATTTTGAGCATGGGGATGCTATAATGGCTGTAAGTGTGGAAAACTGTCATAAATCACTTTTTTCAGTGCTGCTGTAATTTCAAATGGTCATTAAATGAACTACTTGTACTGAATATATTTATTTGCATGGTGTCTTTTGCTGCTTAATCTTCTCAATATGCTTTCTTTTATTCCAGAACCCCTTCTCTTCTTTTTTAAGCGGAAACCTCAGCATGCTGGCCACCCACCAAACTACATGGAGATGATTTGGTATCATGATACTCCAGATTCTTCTGTGGTAAGTCAAATGATATAAATTGATGACAGCTGTCTGCTGTTGCTTTCCCCTTCAGAGGAGGTACACTAGAGACCCCAGAACTCCTGGACAGCATGGCCAGTGGAATTCTAGGAGTTGTATTCCTTTTAAAATATTTTTTAAATATTTTTTTCTTAATATAAAATACAAATGAAAATAGACAGTGGAGAAAATCGGTAAAGGGAAAAGGAAAAAAGTGAGGGGCAAAGAAAGAAAAGAGCAGTGTCTTCCAACTTTTTTGATGCAGCAAATTATACATTAAAAACTATAATCTCAACTTTTTATATAAGAATAGTATTAGCCATTTCTATAACAAAAATCTGTTTAATCATCAAAACCCAAAGTTAGAATTTTTTTTGCCTTGTTTTGAGCAGGAAGTCCAGGAGGATTTCAAAATGGAAACTACTCTAGATACATTCTTATCCCCAATTAAGACAGTTAATTTTGCCATCTCTACTAATTCCATCACCTTTTCAATCCATGGATTGACATAGTTTCCATTTTTGTGCATATAAGATTTTTGCTGTAATCAGCACATATAAATTCCATTTTTCCCCAAGTTCTTTATCCAGTAGTCCTAAAGGAAATATTTCAAATTTTTGATTATATATTCATTTTCTGAATCTTGGGGAGCTGTATTCCTGACATATTTGCAGAGTCCCAGCTTCCAAAAAGCTTCTGTATTGCAAACTACTCATGTACTTTAAAAAGGATTCAGAAAGAAGAGGGAAATTAAAATTGTCAGAACTCTGGAAGCTAGATTGTATGAGGAGTGGTAAAAAGAATCAGGGATGTTTAGCCTTAAGAAACGAAGAGATCTTTGTCTGGAGGCTAACATCTGTAGGTCTGGTTCTCATGTTAACACCACCATCTTGATTTTTTAATCTCATCTCACCCTACAGATACTCTTGATTCTCCTGTATGATTTCCAGGCTATAGAATTCTCATGCTTTGACTCTCATTTTTTAACTTTTGCAAGAATCACAATTGGCAATCCTTTTTTAAAGCATCTTGCACATAGGTACCCCTAAAAGTGATCAAAGCACATTTCTTTTCTCAGACTTTTAATCATTGTTGTTGTGAGTGCTTTTTTCTCCATTCATTGATTTTGTATTTTACTTCTACAAGTTAAACTACGAACAAGAGATTCTCAAAACAGAAATTTGGTTCTGTCAACAAGTGAAAGTCACATAGTGCAAAAATTGAAAAAGGCTAAGCAACAGAGGTAGTATTCAGCAGGTTCTGACCAGTTCTGGAGAAAATTTTGAGTAATTCAGAGAACAGGCAAATACCACCTCTGACTGGAGATTTTACAGTATCCTTCCCCTGCCACGCCCACAAAGACTCACCCACAGAACTGGTAGTAAAAAAAATTGAATCCCGCCACTGCTAAGCAATCATCCAATAAACTATGAAAAAAAAATCTGGGTATAAGAAAGAGCTCTACTTCATTTGGAAACTATTTAGAGTGGTTACTTCTTAGTAATAAAGATTTTTAGCTAACAGAGCTCCATCGAAGTAGTTTCTGCTGAGACGGGTGGTGGTTTGATTTGCTTGCAGACTTTAACAGAACAAAAAAAAAACTGGATTAAACATAGAATAAAATAAATATTAATCAATTAATCCACCTCCCACACATTCTTCAAACTTTATTAACTGTGAACAGCATATTCTAATTTAAAATTAAGTATAATCTAATAAAACTACAGAATAAATAAATAAACTAATTTATGAGCAACTCATCTAGTTTAACCTCAAAGAGTATGTTTTTTTTAAAGATTTTTTCAGAGATTTGGGAGGGTTTGTTTTAAGTAGCTTCTCTTGACTTGATTCATATATCATGCTGAGTTCATTTATATTATTAAGGAAACCACAGCTATGCAAAGTCCAAGCCAAGGAAACTACATTATCACTTAACATAATATGTAATTTAACTATCTCATGGACATTTTGCTAGATTTACACGTTAAATTTAGTTTGTAGATAAATATGTGAGAATCAAGCCAAAAGTAGTCTATTATCATGATTTAGCTTAGTATTAATGAAAGCGACATGATTAATCAACTGACTAAAATAGACTAAGACTGAAAAACATCATTGAGTGTCACAATTTCTGAACCCAATAATGTATTAAACCATTTTACATCCCCTTTTAATAGGGAGGAAAATGTAAAATAAAGCATGAAACTCTTTTTTCTGAAATAACATATGGTGATATAACAATCCATTACCATCATTTTATCCATATGTGGAAACTCTGCAAGAGGGATAGGCTAGTCTTGGAATTAGCTAATTTTAATTCTAAGATCTAGAAATGGCTAACTTTAATTCTAAGGCCAAGGTAGTAACGTCCATGCCTGAGCATTAATTGAACTTAGGACCTTTCCACAAATATTCCCAAGATTAAACAATTTTGGATCTAGACTCAAATGACAGTGTGAAGAAGCACAAAGTGTTATTAGTGCACTCCTGATATGTAAAAATAGATTTTAATTGACACAAGAACATTGATCCCACAAAAATCCCCTTGAGGAGTTACAATAGGCCATACATTTCAAGTGTTTTGTTGGCAGCAATGAAATTATTTCCCAAAGTGGCCTCCTTAAGACATATTTGGAATAGACTTCTGTCCCCAAGTTAGGAATGGCTGATCCATCATCCCATTAGTATACAATATTTCAAGACTACTAGATATTGCCTAATTATATTTTTAGAAATAAAAGCATGAAAGAATAATACGTGTTTGGAATGGTTCTCTGAATGAAAAACACTCTTAAATATTTGCAGATTATCTTGATCTACAAAACAAGGATGGCATTCAGGAAGGACTTCAGAAGCTTATGGATGAGATAAGAGGAATAAAGTCAGGGATGTATGAATAGAAGAGAATATTTGTACCAATGTACAAATATTGTACCAATAGGAGAGATTATACATAGCTCGGAGTTGAAGTGTAGAGTCCTTGGTGCTCTCTGAGCTTGAAGATGTCACCTATTTAGAATAGAATAGAATAGAATAGAATAGAATAGAATAGAATAGAATAGAATAGAATAGAATAGAATAGAATAGAATAGAATAACAGAGTTGGAAAGGACCTTAGAGGTGTTTTAGTCCAACCCACTGCTTAGGCAGGTAATCCTATACCATTTCAGACAATTAAAATTTTTCACTGTTGGAGCATTCACAACTTCTGGAGACAGTTGTCCTAACAGTTGCAGGCAAATTTCTCCTTAGTTCTAGATTGGAACTCTCCTTGATTAGTTTCCCTCTATTTGAATAATAAAACACCTGCAAGAAACCAACCAAGCTCAGAGAGCACAAAGGACTCCACTCAGGAATAGTTTTTTTAATTACTGTAATTAAAATATTCAGTAAAAATAATGTAGAGGTACATAGATATAGATAAAAAGGAATGTGCCAATTGTCTCCTAGGTCTTGCTGCTTCTATTGCTGTTTTTCTCCCCATTTGGGCTACTCAAGGGCTGCAGCTTTAATTATTCACCTATCGCTACTTCTGACTTTTCCCAGGATATAAAACCCCTGGTGAGTATGAATACATTGCATAGTTCAGCAGGCTGCCAGCCCCGTTTGGTAGAACAGAGCAGGAAATCACCTGCAGGAAGATTAAATCTAGTGACAGGTTATAATTTATTTAACAAACTTATATTGCTGCCCATTTCAGGAAAAAAAAAAGACTCTCAGTGGTGTAGAACAATGAATTAAAATAAATATATAAAACAATAATCCAAATTTCAAATTATACAAAATAGTTACAAAATCATGCAAGCCTAATTGCGTTATATTTCCCCCAATCATCCTATACTCCTGAGAATCAGGGAGGTGCCTTCTTGAGCCACTTTGAATATTACCTTGTTTCTCAGGTCTTAAAAATGTTTCAACCCCTTTTGCCTAGAATAGATAATGGTTCTCACATATCTCTATCAAGGTCATCTTCAGGGGTGGGATTCTACCAATTCGCACCTATTTGCTGGAACGGGTTGTTAACATTCTAAGCAGTTCAGAGAACTGGTTGTTAAAAGAAATTACTGACCTAATCCTGTAAGGAAGGCAGGAAGGAAACATTCTGGTGTTGCTTACAGAAACTGCCTCCCCATTAACCCTTATTACATTCTTGGCAGGACTAGACTTCCTGTCTCTGGAACTTCTCTGGAGGTTTTTCTTCCTCCTTTGCTTGTGTGGAGTGACCATTCAAAGTTACAATTGCACTGAAAAAAGTGACTTATGACCATTTTTCACACTTACGACTGTTGCAGCATCCCCAAAGTCATGAGAGGCCAGGTGAGGAGACGCATGCCTCAATGTGAGTGATATTGAGTTGGCTACGCCTCGCCAATAACATGACCCACCAAGCCATGTCCATCCAGTCACATGATCACCAAGCCATGCCCACCAACTAAGCCACGCCCACATAACCAGTTGTTAAAAAATTTGAATCCCACCCCTGGACAATTTCCTTACTCTGCACATCTTTTTATTCTTGTTTTTACTTCTATCAAAGGCAGAAATGCAAGTGCTGGTGATAGTGATGAAAAATTATACAAAAAAATCAATGCAAAATACATGTTTGTAGAAATGACACATTGCCCCTTTTTTGTGCGGAGTTTTTTACAGGGAAAAAAACTAAAATCCCCAATAATTAAAATATCATCATGCTGGCTACATGTCCAGGGAAATGTCTTGGGACAAAGCTAGCTCCCTCAGCTAAGAAATGGAGATGTGCTGAGCCCCTTAGAGTCAGATAGGAAAACACTTACCTTTTTACCTTTATAGTCATGTTCTCACCTTGGGCCTCTGCAAAACAACTGCATTTCATCCTTCCCTTTTGAGTCCCCAAAGTAGAAAGATGAGCAAATCAGAAGGTGACAAAGAAAACTGAAATGTGTAAAAGAGAAAAGCAGTTGTAAATTCTATCTTGTCAAAAGTTTAGGATGAACATTTATGAAGGCAGACTTAAAATTAAAGTATTAGTTATGGCACCACACAAAATTGAGCTACATCATTCTACCATGACATGGCACTCTCCAAAGCTGTTGAACTACTCATTCGATCATTCCCCGTTAGGAGGACAATTACTTGTGATCAGGGAATTAAGGGTACTTAATTTCCACTCTTCAGCCTACCCATGGAACTTAAATACAAAGAGCATCTAATTTTATGGCATTTTACAAGTAGTCCTTATGACTGATTGCTTAGTGACTGGTCAAACTTATAACAGACTTCCTTATGACTTAGTTCCAAAGTCAGGCCTCCGCTCTTCCCCCATGATCATATGACCATGCGTTACTCAATAACTGACCCATACAGGTAGTGCTTGACTTACAACAGTTCATTGAGTGACCGTCCAAAATTACAACATCACAGAGAAAAGTGACTTATGACTTATGTGATCAAAATTCAGACCGTTGGCAACTGACTCATATTTGTGACCACATGATCCCCTTTTATGACCTTCTGACAAGCAGAGTCAATGGGGAATCCAGATTCACTTAACAACCATGCTGCTAACTTAGCAACTGCTGTGATTCACTTAATGACTGGGGCAGGAAAGATTGTAAAATGGGGTAAAACTCAATAAGGTTGCACAGAGCAACATAAATGTTGAGCTCTATTGTGGTTGTAAACCGAGGACTTATCTGTATTTACAGCTATTTGTAGCATGCTGTGGATGGTTAGGATGATTTTGCCAATAGCTAGCATTTAATCCTGGTTTTTGGCAAAATCGGCCAATTGGTTTACTTAACAACTTTATTAGAATGGTGACAGTCACTTTAACGACCACGATATTTGCTTAACGACCGTGACAGTTGTTTAAACACCACCGCACAAGAGGTCATAACATTGGGTTTCTCACATGGGTGATCTTATTTATGACCATCACCACCATAATGGAGGGTCGTAACTCAAAGATTGTCTGCAATCTTGTCTTTCTCTTTCTCTCCCCTCAGAAAGAATATTTGCTCCTGGACTACAAAGTATCGATGAAGTCCATTCTGAAACCGGTACAGTCTTTATGGCAGCTTTTACCTCAGGGGTGAGGAACTATGACCCTTTTATGGTCTGTGAACTTCAACTCCCAAAATTCCCAAACTGGCTGGCTCTGGAATTCTGGGAGTTGAAGTTCATAGCTCGTAAAAGGGCCATAGTTCTCCACCCCCGTTTTACACGAATACTTTCACCTTTCAGTGAAATCAACAACATTGCTGTTGTTGGTTTGGCAAAAATGTATATTGTACATTGATTGTTGATTATTCTACTATTGTATATTGATCGTTCTACTATTCATGAAAATAGCCAACCCTCTTTCATGGAACTGCCCATGGCACGTTAGCTAAAGATGACAGGCCAACCTCCAACAAATTTCCTGCCACACAACTGAGAATATTGCCTGCTGTTGAAATAAGACTCTTGTATCTAGCCAATATTTTGTAGGAGGAAGTTCAAAGTTGGTGGGGTTCAATTTGGAAATGCTTTGGAGGGTGTTTTTTTTTTTAATTAATATGCCTATTTTAGGCATCTTCCATGCTAATGGCAAAGAAAATCAATTCTTGCAATTGTTTTGAGCTACCAAAATTCCTTGTGTATGTCCATGGTAGGGTAATGGGAAATGAAGTCTGCAAGGGTCCTTAACATCCTTTGCATATCTGTTGAATGTTCCTGGTTTAATCTTTGGCTTGTCCAGCCACATCTGGCAAAGTCTTGTCTCAAATAATTGAAAAGCTGTTGGTGACTCCTGATCAGGCTTGTGGAACCTTCCTAGTTGGAAGAGCTCCCAAACTGAAAAACTGGAAAATCATGTTTTTTAGTTAAGAACTAGTGCTTTGAGTCAGTAATGTACCAAAATGGTCCATACAGTGAACTTTTTCCTTTAAGCGAGCATGGAGGTACAGATCTCACATTATGATATGCCTCTGGATATAGGGTTTTAATATGATTTTCATCTCCAATCTTGGATTCTGCTTGAGTAAAATGGTCTTGGTGGCCATGCTACTAGATTTGGTCTCCAATGATATAGAGAACCACTAAATGGCAGTAGTGAATCCAGATTTTCTGCATTTCTGTGTTCCCATCTAGAGGGAATCCAAAGGTTTGCAACCCAAGTGTGGTAGTCTTGTTTTATAATGAAGGTACAATCTTTTTTCTTCTTTTTGCTTCCTTTTTGGTCTCATGTTTTCTCTGCATCCCATCTCCATTTATATTCTCCAGGACATATTCTGCAGTTTGTTATGGGATCTCCATTTCATCAATGAAAACTTAAAGGAATTAATCAAAGTGTCTGGGAAAAGCCTGAAAAAGTTATTCGAGAAGATACATGATCACACAAGATTTGTCGAGGCATGTAATATTAAAGAAGTAAGTTGAAGAACTTTGTTTAGAGTGCTTTGGAATACAATTCAAATCCAGAGGTGGTATTCAGCAGGATCTGACCAGTTCTAGAGATCGGTAGTGGAAATTTTGAGTAGCTTAGAGAACCGGTGGTAACCTTCCCCCAGGAGTGCGGAGGGAATTGAGATTTTACAGCAGGGGTCCCCAACCACCGGGCCGCAGACCGGTACCGGTTCGTGGAACATTTCCTACCGGGCCGCCGGTTTGCTGGGCGCCACCATCTTCTTTGACGAGAAAGTGCTTCCGGGTGAGCTTTTCCGGGTGGAAAGCGGCGTTTGGGTCCTGAAGGAATCCTCGCGCCTTAGTTTCATCGAGGGGGGGCTTTGAACAAAACTAAGGCGTGAGGATTCTTTCAGCACCCAAGGCAAGGCGAGCCGAGCGACCGTCCTGAAGCTGTCCCGAAGGGAAGCCCATCGACAAAGGTACAAAGGAGGAGTTGAAGGTGGCAGGGAGAAGCAGGGGACGGCTGGCTGGCCGGTCGCTCGGCTTGCCTTGCCTTGTCATGCGTGCTGACGCCAGTACCGGGCTGCAGATCATTTTGTGATGCTGGTACCGGGCTGTGGCACAAAAAAGGTTGGGGGCCACTATTTTACAGTATCGTTCCCCTGGAGTGGGGTGAGAATGGGGATTTTGCAGTCCACCAATCCACACCCACAGAACTGGTGGTAAATTTTTTTGAATCCCACACTGTACAAATCATTCCTATATTATTCGGAATTTAACCTAACTTGCCTTGTCCTACTAGCTTAGAACAGACTGCAATCAAAATTTCTATTTTTTTTTTATAAATGCAGTATTAATTTAGATCTGAACTAAGTAAAGAAGGAAGATTTAAATTAATCCAGGGCTCTAAGAGTGCTGAACAAAGTATGAATACTTCTGTGTGTATTCCTTGTCTGACAGAAATATTTGTATCTACATGGTCACTAAGAGTCCGCACCAGCTTGACCGCTCTTAATCAAAATGAGGGGAAAAGGAACACTGAAATTTTTCTTTACCCTATTTTTGGGTTGCGAGAAAATGGGAAAGTATCTGAATTTATTTAAGTTCCTCAGTTTTTTTTCTGGCTGGGACAGAAATTCCTCTCTTCCTTTGCGAGACAGATTTCAGTACAGGTAATCCTTGACTTACGATCACATCAGAGTCCAACATTTCTGTGGCTAAGTAAGGTGGTTAAGTCAAATGAGTTGTGCCCCATTTTACAATCTTTTATGCCACACTTGTTAAGTGAATCATGTGGTTGTTAAGTGAACCTGGCTTTCCCCATTGGTTTTGCTTGTCAGAAGCCAGTTGGGTGACAAGCAAATGATGATCACATGACCCAGGGACAGTGCAACTGTCATAAATACATGCCTGTTGCCAAGCACCCAAATTTTGATCATGTGACTTGTGGGGATGCTGCAATGGTAGTAAGTGTGAAAAATCGTCATAAGTCATTTTTTTCAATGCCTTTGTAAATTTGGTTATTAAATAAATGGTTGTAAGTCAAGGACTACCTATATTTGTTATGTCTGTTTCTACAAGTGGGTTCATTTCATTTTGAAGCAAAAGCCGCTGAGAATTTCCCGAGTCTGAATCAACCCTAACCCCTCTGTGTAGTGTACAATTGGATGGGACCTTTGAGGTCAATATACAATCCAAAGTCATTACTATTTGCAATAAATAGCATCACCAGGATAAAGCGGGTCTTAAGCTGGAAATTGCTGTCAAGCCCATGTTCTACAGTTTGTATTGCTCTTTTTAAAAATAATTTTATTAAGCTTCAAATATAAAAAATTTGAAATGTTGCAACAAAAAGGATTAAAGTGGAGGAGGGACCACAGGGAGAATTTAAAAAGTAATATACAAAAACCTCCAAATATAACATAGGAAAAAAAAGTTACTTCCAACTCTCTTCAGTTCAGATAAAGTTGTAAGATAAAACAAGGTAACTTTTGTTTTAGTTTAACAAAGAGATACAAAATATAAAAGATATATATACCATACCTAACAATCAAATAATAACAATGCTTTCTTAGTCTAAATGTGTGGCCTGGTGGCCTGGAGGTGTCTATCAGGATAGAAAGAGAAAAGATTTGCTACGAACTCCGTGTAGGCATCAGGAAAGGCACCCGGCCAGTAAATGCTCAGCACCACGCAGTCACTTGGATTTCACCCTGAATAAACAGATTACAAGGCTGTAAAACCCTCTTAGTCTATTATTAGTCTTAGTCTATTATTAGTTCTTTCTATAAGAATACACACACACACACACACACACACACATACATACATACATAAATACATACATACATACATATATAACTGTTGTGACTGGAAGGTTTGAGCCTGCTGTGAGTTTTGAGTCTGATGTATCAGAAGACACAGGTTTGAGTGATCAGGAAGGTTTGGCATTGGAATTGGAGCCTGCTCTAATGAGAGATGCATACGTGAGCCAGGAGGATGAGGGAGTGTCGGAAACACCATCCTCCAGAACCTTCCATGTCAATCATGCCTCAGGTGTCAGCAGCTGATCCACAGAACATACCAGAGTCCTTGAGTGATGACGAATGTTGGGTTGATGCAAGGACTAGATGCAGGTTGAGACGTCAAGCACAATTTGAAAAGAAACGTCAAGTCAGAGACTAATTAGACAGACTGACACACTCCTTCAAGGAATATAAGGAGGCGTGCTAGTTAACGATCCTTGTCCGGATCAACTTCGTTAATTACTGCGCAGCTTTGAAGAAGCCTCTGTTCCTGTTCCTGATTTATCTTGTGTTATCTCGGCTCGAAGACAGTTTCTGGGAAAGCTGCCAATGACAATTATAGAGACAAGTTAACTCTCTGGTTTCTGGTATTATTTGTTCGTGTTTATTTCTTTGGGACATTTGGACTCTCACTTGTGGCTACAAGTGAGACAGAACATTATATATATATATATGAGATACATCATTTACTTCAGTGGTTCTTAATCTTTTCTTCATCATGTACCCCCTTTAAATACCTTTTGTGGTGATAGACTATGGCCACAGACTCCCAAGATTTAAATTATAACATTTCTTCAAGCCTTTGTGGACTCCCTGTGATGGCGTTGTGGCCCCCAGGGGTCCACAAACCACAGGCTGAGAACCACTACATTACTTCAAATGAAAACAAATGCATAAAAAGCCAAAATAAAATGTGTATCTATTAAACTCCCAGCAGCACACATTTCTATAACAATCAATGCATATCTAATCAAAATCTAGACTTCATTTTTATCTTTGTCAAGCAAAAACTTCCAAAGGGTTTCTATGTAGAAAGAAAAGCAGTCCAAATCTTTAATAAAAGCAGTCACTTTTGACATTTCAGCCATTTCATGTTGTCGGGTTTTTTTTTCAAAATAAACTTCAAAAGATATACAGATACAGATTAACAGAGTTGGAAGGGACCTTGTAGGTCATCTAGTCCAACCCCCAAACCCAAGCATACCTTACACCATTTCTGACAGATGGCAGTCCAGTTTCTTCTTGAAAGCTTCCAGGATGCTTTTTCCTTAACAAGGAACTGCATTTAAAAGGTATTTTGTAGGTACAGGAAGTTCTTCGCTTATGACTGGTCACTCAGCCATCGGTAGTAATGGATGCAAAAAAAAGGTAGTCAGATTCAAAATTCTGAAAGCTGTCCCAGGTCAAGTGATCTCTTTTTGGATGCTTGGCAACCAACCCATATTTACATAGATTTGTGGTGTCCAATGACCATGATTTGCCACTGTGTTGATTTATTATATAAAAGCACAAATAATGGTGTCTGAACTTTGCCATTGATTTCTGAAGTATGAGGTAGTAATTACACCTGTCATACCGGGATGAGCAAGCTGCAGTTAATGCTTTGTGTTTTTCTTGCTTTTTTTCAGGATAATAATTCTACCAGTGTTGAGTTGATAAATATCTCCCAGTTTGTAGATGCCATTCCTTCCCACCTTCGGAATCTATCAATGAAGATAGAGACAATTACATCGGAAGAAAAGTATGCTGATTTTAAGAACTGCACCATTATTCAGAGCCAAATAGGTAACATTTTTAAGTGATGGGGAAAGGGGTGAGGAGGCAAAAGTTTGGCCATGTTCCCAATCATGCTTCATTCAACGATGTTATCTGTTGTGTCCAGTGTCCCATTCGATTTATCCCCAGACCATAAATGACATAGACTTAAGTGTTAAAATAATGTTTTCCCTCTTACCCCTCCATTATCCAAGAACAGGCTGTAAAGCTTTGTCCCTAATTACCATGAAGGGAAACGGGGTAAATGCTGGTGAGAGGAAACAGAAATGGCACCACTAAAGGCAGGATAGAGATCTGCACCTTTTCCACCTAGGATTGTTTTCTTCCAGCAACTGTGTGACATGCCGGTGGGGAAAGGCCCGGGTACCTATTAAGCTGACTTTCAGAAGATATTGTTCCCACAGTGGAATATGGCAGAGTTCCCCAATGTTTCCGGCTTTGGGGACTCCGCGGGGAGCGGGGGGGGGAGGAAAGGGATGGTTCCATGTGAGCGGCCGGCGAGCTTGTGCACGTGCACGCAGCTGCATTTGCAAGTGGTGTGCATGTGCGCCTCCCGCTCACTTAAATGGAGCGCATGCGGACACCAGCCATTTCCACAGTCTTGTTGCAAATCAGTCATGGTCCACTAGTGTGTTGTGGCCAACAGTTGGGGAGCCCTGGAATACGGTCTACCATTTCGGACTGCTCCAACCTGGTACCCTCTGGATTTTAAATCCAACATTGATTGGGGCCAGATGAAGTCTCAAGAAGCCATCTCAACTTCTCAGTACAGATAGTCCTCGACTTACGATCACAATTGAGCACAAAATTTATGTTGCTAAATGAAACATTTGTTAAGTGAGTTTTGCATCATTTCATGACCTTTCTTGCCACAGTTGTTTAGTGAATCACTGCGATTGTTAAGTTAGTACCGTTGTTGTAAAGTGAAGCTGGCTTCCCCATTGACTTTGCTTGTCAGAAGTTCACAAAGCTGATCTTATGACTCCATGACACTGCAACTATCGTAAATATGAACCAGTTGTCAAGCATCCGAATTTTGATCACATGACCAAGGGGATGCTGCAACGGTCGCAGGTGTGAAAAACGGCCATAAGCCACATTTTTCAATGCTATTGTAACTTTGAATGGTCACTAAATGAACTGTTGTAAGTCGAGGACTACCTGTCGACTACCTTCTTTAGTGGCTACAGCCACAGCATTCCTCCAGATGACACTCACAAAGTACCATTTTGGGGCACCGTGGAAACTTGAGATCTTGTCAGGCCCAAATACAACAAAGATACAAGGTGGCTCCTTCAAACCATATTTTATATTTTTTGAATGCCTTAGACAAAACCTTACCCGATTGAGCATTCTACTGATTGCATTTACAATATATTCTGTGAACTATTAAGAAGGGGCTGTCTTCACCCTCTTTCTCTCACACATGATATCTGGACTAAGCTGCCTCTTCCTCTTCTCCCTCGGGGTGGGGGTTGTGGCAACTGACCTCCTCACTACTTTACATCACATATGATTTTGCAATATTGGAAATGGCAGCTCATGGATGCTTCCAGGATTGACAGAGAGAAGACTGATACTAAACTGGGTGGAAGACCTTTCCAACTTGGAGCAGGCCTTGATTATAGTAATATGGCTGACTTAGAATACTATAACTCCAATTTAGTCACTATGAACTTCACCAACTATATTTAGTTCCAGCTCTTCTTCTGGGACATGCTTTAATCTTTCTTTCTATCCCACCCTCTTAAGGCACACCTGTGGTTTTTTTTAACTCATCCTGATTTCTATAGGAAGTAGAGGCTCTAATAATTCTCAGCACCTATACTAAAAGTCTTATTTTTTTTGTAAATGATTTAATTGTTTGTTAATCTTAACACGGAACGTCACCGCCACAATCACATGGCTGGCAAGGAAAAAGGAACAAAAACTAGTATCAAAGGTTTAAAATCCCACCACCCAAATTCTTTTAGTAATTGGACATAGAAGAAGGATTTTTTTTTTCCTGTGATAATTTACAAATCTAGAAACAGTAAGCACTTATCATTAGATATGCAACGTTATTTCTCTATCCCTTTTTACAAGGCACATTACAATGTCACATATCTTCAGGCAGGTCAACCAGTGGAACTTGGGATACAAAATATTATACTAAAATGTGACCGATTGGGTGATTTATATAATGTATAAGGTTGTGTTAAAATGGCTGGGCAGTTTGTAGGTCAGAACTTCAGGGAAACCCAGCTGTTGTCTTAACACTATTTTCTCAAACCTTTCAGAGGTATGGATTTTAACCCAGAATTCCCTTGCTGGCTCGGGAATTCTGGGAGCTGAATGTTGTGGGAGAAGTATCATCATGTTAAAGCCATAATATATGATTGATTCTGGCATGGCAACATAGCAATGAGTTTTATGAACAGATTGAAAATTTAGCATGTGTATGTATACCACCATTATGTCTTTTTTCTGAATATCACTTACTCTCTGCTCCATCCTCCCCACCCCTTTGTTACCAGCTGGCATTTGATCTGCCCCTATAGGTCAGTCTCTCTCTGTACTACAGAATCTTCCGTTACCCATCAACACTTCTGATTGGAAGCTAGAGAAGAAACAGTTATCTCAGCCAATCTCCCACAAAAGGACTTACTGGTGGTTACTTCTTTCAGCTATCTTAGTCTGTCTTCTCATCAATTTATGGAAAAAATGCCAGGTAAACTCTTCATAAGAAATTGCTTCAGGTAAAAATGCATAACCCAACAGTAGCATGTGAAGCAGCCTTGGATTCTACCTTAGTTACAGAACCGATATTCACAGGCAGAAAGTCTTCTGCTCTTTAATATTGTCATTGAAAGATCTGGATGAAGAGATAGAGAAAACCAGTTCTGTAGATGACATTTAATTGGATGGGTTCCTAATTCGCCAGAAGACAGAAATAAAATTCACAATTGCTGTTTGAGAGAGTGGAGATATGGACTGCAAGTAATAGAATGAATTTTACTAGAGATACATAACAAAATTCCTCACTCAAAAAACATAATCCACATATAGCGGATTGAAGGTACCTAGCTTGATAATTGTATTTGTGAAAAAGATATTGGAATAATAGCTTATTGCAAAGTGAGCCCATACTGTCATAAAGCAGCCAAGAAGACAGATTCAGTTTTAGAACGTATCAATACAAGTCCCATTTCCAAATCATAGACAGTATTGTTCCTTTCTTGCAATGGATCACATATTGTACTATTTTTCTACTGCATTAACATGTCTTGATATTTGCCTATTTTCCCATCCTCTGCAAACATGCATACATTTATCATATTTGCTTATTCTACATTTTCACCTTGTATGCATAATACATAAATATAAAAGATAAGGGTTATTTGAGAAGCCTTCCCCTTTCAGACATTTTCAGAACAACAACACAGTTAAACCATGTTTTAATTATGATTGGTGTTTCCTGTCCATATGGAGGAATTCTATTAATTGCATGTACAGTATTCTTTTATTTTTATTCTGCATTTTTACTCTGTTGAGTGTAACCCATAGTTTGCCAATCGGGGCAGGTTATAAAAACTGATCTGAACCGAATTGCACAGAATATAACTAGAAACCATCAAAATTCTCATTTTTGCTCAATCTTCTCTGCCAAATACAAATCAATGAAGATAAATGGTATGTTCTAACTTATCTGTTTCCTTCTTAGGTGTTCAATTGGATATTTTATATGGTACATAAACAAGGCTTATATCAAGACCGAAATTGACATATGTGTAGTCATTTTATTTAGCCTTATTATATTTGTTTTCTTCCTTTCTCTTTGCTGGTTATGGGGGGGAGGGTTTCGGGCTTGCCACATCCCTAAGGTGGGAGGAGTGGAGATAGAGGGAGATGTTTAGGTTGGGGGGTTCTTCTTCCCATGGAAACACGAGCTGTTAGAGCTTAGGCCCCTTGAGGTAGAGATTTATGACATCAAGCAACGCTGAATTACTTCTATTGGAGAATATGACTTTTGGGGGTTGTTTCTAACTTCCAATATTATGTGGTGTAATTCCAGGTTGTGTCAGATCTGGAATTACCATGGACTTTGCCAATTTGATGCTTTCCTAAATAAAAGAAATTGTTTTGGAAGATGGACTTTTTGCTCTTTTCTTTTTAAATGGATTTCATCACCTGGAAACCTGACAGCTTATCTTTATGGTTGATATGAATGACATGCTTTCGGGACATCCCTTATATTCTTAAAAGATATCCTCTCCAGTAGGCAGATAAGCATCAGTAGATAAACAATTAGAGAGGAAATAATTTTCTAATTAAAGAGCTATGAAGGAAAAAGCCACACCACACCAAGATCGATAGGGAAAACTACTACAGATAGTTCTTCACTTGCAACAGTTTGTTTAGTCACAAAGTTACAACAGCACTGAAAAAAGTGAGTTATGACCATTTTTCACACTTACGACCATTGCAACGTCCCCATGATCATGTGATTTACATTCAGCTTGGAAACTGGTTCATATTTATGATGGTTGCAGTGCCCTGGAGTTGTATGATCATATTTTACGACCTTCTGACAATGGGAAAGTCAGATTCATTTAACAACCATGTTACTAATTTAACAACTGCAGTGATTCACTTAGAACCCATCCTGCAACATCCAGACTCTGAATGGCCATTTTTTATCCAGGCCGATGCCAGTACTGTGGTCGTGGGTGCCGTCCTTCTACAGACGAATGCACAGGGATAATTGCTACATTGCGTGTACACATCCAGGAAATTGATGGAAACTGAGCAGGCATGGGAGAAGGAGGCTTTTGCTGTCTGGTGGGCTTTGGAGATGTGGTGGCATTTTCTGGAAGGTGCCAGGAATCCATTCAAGGTTTGGATGGACCATAAAATCCTGGAGGCCTACAAACCCCATGTTGCTTGTCCCCAAAGCAAGTCCAGTGGGCACAGTATTTCCAACGCTTTACCATCAAATATATCCCAGTGGGAAAAAAACTTCATGGTGGATGCCCTATTGTGGATGACCCAATACAATAGCTGTTGGGAGGAAGTAATCCAGGCCATAATGCCTCCTTATCTGCAGCCGGCCCATATGCAGAGTGCTGCAAACAATCTTAACAGAGGAGCCCGCAGAATGTGTTATGGGCTGATCCATGGTTCCTGGAGCCTCAGCCGTCACTAACCTGATGAAGCAGATTGGCATGGAAGGGCAATAAACTATATATCCCATCAGCCATGCGGGAGAAGGTACCATGACATGAAACAGGCCAGTCATTTTGGGTTCCTGAAGACATTACACCTCGCCAAACATCAGTTTCGGTGGTCTCGAATGCAAGCAGGTGTGGAAGTGTACATGAAAAGCTGTCCTGTCTGTGCAACCTCAAAGAATCGGGTGGGAAAGCCCCCTGGCCTATTACAGAGGGTGGCGAACCCGACCCATTCTTGGGAGGACATAGCACTGGACTTTGTAGTGGAGCTGCAATGGCCATACCATTATATGGACAATTATCAACTTTCTCCAAACAAGCCCATTTCGTAGCATGTGCTGGATTACCACCCACACGTCTATTGTCTCCACAGGATGCCCCAGAGGATAATATCCAATGGGGGGGGGGGTCAGTTTACAGAGAAGTTCTGATGGGAGTTTGTCCAGAGGATCGGTTCCTCCCGGGGTTTTAGCTCGGCATTTCACCCGGGTACCAATGGAGCAGCTGAATGGACTAATGCCATAGCGGAGCGGTACCTCAGGTATTACGTCACCTACCAGCCAACCAGTTGGGCAGATCTTCTGCCATTTGTGGAGGTAGCATATAGCAACGCGGTGCATAGTAGCACCAGGTTCACCCCATTCAGAGTGGTCAACGGGATGGACTTTGTGCCCATTCCCAAGTACCTGCAGGAACCATCCTTACCTTGCTGACCCAGTGAGTAGATGAGCACCATACCAGGCATGTGGAGTGCCGTAAAGGCAGCACTAATGAAAGCAGAGAAGACATACAAAGCCCAAGCAGACAAAAAATGGGCCACTCACAAACTGGAGGGGAAGTTTGTGGAGGGGAAAATGTATCTTTCAACCAAATACCTTCGGTTGAAAATACCCTGTAAAAAGTTGGGTCCAAAGTTTCTTGGACTTTTCCCCATAGTTAAGGTAATAAATCTGGTCACAGTGGAGTTGAAGCTGCCCCACCTGTTGGGACGCATTCAACCAGTGTTCCATAGTAGTTCACTAAAGCCAGTAGAGGATACCCACATCAGGAGCCCTCCACAGCCACCAGGGCCCATTAGCAATGATCAGTATGAGATAGACTGAGTACTAGATTCCCAAATCCACCAGGGTTAAAGACAATACCTGGTGTGGTGAAAAGGGTACCCCTCGACAGAGGCCACCTGGGTGGCAGAGAAGGACATGTGGACCACTCGACTTATCCAAAAATTCCACAAGCCCTACCCTCAGATACCAGGGGTGGGGTGAGGGAATAGAAACAGAACAACCATGAGCAACCATGATTAACATATATATATATATTTACTGTCTTCCAGGTGCGGCCCTGGTAGGGGGAGCAGCCTGTTAAGCCCGAAAGTCTTGACATACATGGGTGGGGAGGGAAAGAATGGAAATTGTCATGATGAAGGGAGCAACGGTGCAGAAACAACCAATCTCCAGTCATCCGCACAGCTAACTGACAGTTCTCCAAAGCCCAGCCGATTGGCGCCCGAGGAGACAGCGTGCGGAACTCAGAGGCCAGAAACGCAGGCACTGGATGGCGGACCGCTGATAAGACACAAAATGCTGGCATCGGTTGCTAGGGTGTGGGAAGGGGCATGGTCTTACCTATAAATAGAGCGCTGGGAGGCAGTTGCTCCCAGCGCTGACTTTTCAAATGTCAGTTACTCATTTGTGTCATGCCTCAGGATTGAATAAAAAATGCCAACTGCTTCCAGAGGTTTTTTTTGCTTCTGAATTCTCAAGACCTGGAGATTTGGACATTTGAGGTGACTAATACAGGTAGTCCCCGACTTATGACCACAGTTGAGCCCAAATTTTCTATTGTTAAGTGAGATATTCGTTAAGTGAGTTTCACCCCATGTTATGAATGTTGTTGCTGTAATTGTTAAGTGAAATCATTGCAGTTGATAAGTTAGTAACATGGTTGTTAAATGAATCTGGCTTCCCCATTGGTTTTGCTTGTCAGAAGCTTGCTAAAAGGGATCCCATGACTTTGGGACACAGCAATGGTCATAAGTATGAACCACTTGCCACGCATCTGAATTTTGTTCACATGATCATGGGGATGATATAAAGGTTATGTTTGAAAAATGGTCATAAGGCACTTTTTTCAGGACTGTTGTAACTTTGAACAGTCGCTAAATGAATTGTTGTAAGTCGAGGACTGATTATGCATATCATAATTTTGATGTCAATTCTTAGCAACCTTATGGATAGACTTTCTTTGAGATGATCAGTCCCTAATTTGGTTCATCGAATTTTCCTGTAGTTCTCCCATCACCACTATAATCAAGTCCATCTATTTGTCTTCTTCTCTTTCCTTCCATCCTAAAAAATATCCATTTTGGTATTTATTATAATTTCCAAAGAAAATGAATTTTGATTCCAGTCATTTGTGGTCATTTAAAGACTCTTTTCCTTGGGAAGCCAAATGTAACTTCCAACTGAAATTCCCTTTAGTGAAAAACTGTCCAATTTTTCATGGCAGGAAGAACACAAATCTATCATTCTTCACTTCAAGACATATTGCTGGAAAGGGTTTTCCTGTTTGTTTCTGGCAATTTTATGTAACACTTCATTCATTTTCTGTCCAAGTCTTCATCCGCATAATTAATATCTGATAACAATCAGAAATTGGATTTCATCGTCCACAATTGATTTAGCTGTAATTGAAAGTCGTTCTGAAGAAGTTTTAGGAATGTCTAGAAAATTGAGTGTTGGAGTATTTAATGAGTCCTTTGATAGGACATCATCTTTCTCTGCTGTTTTCCCAGTCTAGACAATGGTCTGATAGACAAATCTGAATCTAAAGAGAGATTGGGTTGGAGACAGCATCACAGATGGGAAGGGTTAGTTTCTGTTAGTTTCCTCTTCTACTAAAAGTAGTGTTACGAATCCCAGTTAGTGCTTCTTGTGAAGCCAGACTATGATTTGCTGAGCAAATAACTAGTTAACCTGCTTATAAATTTGGACAGTAAATTGATCCTAATATCTTGTATAAGTCAGAATTCAGGGAAATGAGTGATGAGATGTTCTCTTAGTCATTTATGAAGTGGAAAACATCTCTTTAGCAGAAGAATAAAAGTAAGGCAGTGGAATTCTTTCCAAATAGCTATTAAAAGGCAATAAATTTGGGGGTCACTTTTTCATACATTATCTGGGCACCCTTCTTTTTCTTTCATATTAAGGCAATGCATATTAGAATGACTGAAAAGGGAGAAAATTCACTGCCCCCTCCTACTTAACCAGAAAACATAAATTTCCTCATCCATTACACAGCCATCTTCTGCATACTGCATTTTAACAAAACTAATTTTTATGACTTTAGTCATGTATCCATAAAATTTTCTTTCACTGATGAATTCATCCAGTTTTTTTTTTTTTTTCCAGAAACAGTGTTTATGACATTCGGATTGGCTCTGAATTTCTCTTATTCCAACATGAATCAGTTTTGCCCTGACCCATAACAGATGTAAGATACATATCTGATACATATCTAGTCAATTGTTCCTTCACATCTTCCAGAGAAAAACATATTTCTAAGGACAACATCTGAATTTCCTGAGAAGTTTTATCTGTTGTTTTATCGTTCAGGAGTTTAATAATCTAAATTTGTTGCTTTTGGAAAACACCAGACATTTGACTGACAACTTGAAATCTTTCATTATGTCTTTTGTTAGGCAGCTAATTGTGGTGAGCTTAAATCTTCTGGTCATTTTGTAGGCTGAACTCAGG